AGGCCCTGCATGTCCGGTGGGCTTTGTGCGGGATCTTTTCATGGTGTCTGTGTTTTGAACGTGGGGAAATCCTGAAGTCTGGCGATGTTGGGGGGGAAAAACAAAAGGGAAAAAAAAACCTACCGAAACCCAAACAGTTTAAAAATCATTAGAAAAGGGGGCAGAGGGCAGGAACCCTTGCATTTGTCTTTTTCCACTTCAGCTGTTGACTTACACAGGTTTAAGTGCAGAACTACCGTGCACAGTTTCTGTTAGTCTGTTTTTTTACACAGTGTATTTTTGGTTTAGCCTGATCTGTAGCTGCTTACAGATGTTTTGAGGACCTGGGAGGCTGGAACTACTTTTCAGGAGTCTATTACCTTGAAACTAAAACCAAATAATCTTTCTCTTCGTGTGAAGGGTCCCTTGCATCCTCCATTACAGCCTCAGCCACAACCTCAGCCTCAGCAGCACCATCCCCAGCAGCAGCAGCAAGCAGCAGCAGCACCATCACCAGCAGCAGCAGCAGCAACACCATCATCATCTCCAAGGGCCACCACAGCCCTTGATGCCCATGAACCAACCACAGTTCAGGCCTCATATGCAGGCCACGCAGCAGCAGCCAAATAACAACAGGATGCAGTGTCAGCCGCGACAGGGTCCAATGAAGCCAAGACATGTAAGTACCACATCAGTGTTGCCTTGCATACTTCTGCATGGGTAACAGGCGTGTAAGCACAGGTTTCAAAACTCACCAATGTGGTTTTTCAGTCCCATTCATTCCGTCCTGCTCTGTCACCTTCTTTCACCATTTCTTGCTCCTTTTCTGCCTTGATAATTTTATAATCTGCATACAAAAATAGCACATGTTTCTTTCCCTTTTTCTTTTCTCCTCCGGTCTTCAGTGTTTTTCTTGATCTAGGTCCAATAAGAGATGATGCAGTTGCCCAAGAACTGGCAGTAAAGGGTTTTTAGAAGATAGGTTTGCTTAGTAAGATTTTAAAACTGTTGGTAGCCTGTGATTGTGTGGGAGCCCAGTTCTCTGACACTGTCTTTCAATTTGAAGGCCTCTCTGTACCACTGCTAATAAGCTTTCTGGTTCAGATAGTGCCACTCATGTCCTGTGAGTTTGCTCCAGTGCAGCATATTCTATTGCTCGGTAGGTTGGGGTAGCACAACGGTCTGAAGCAGTGCTCAAGACAATGTGACTGTAGTTCAGAATAATTGCTTTGATTAGGAAAATAAATCACACAGCGAAGCCAATTTCTGAGGAAGATGTTAAACAAATGAGATTCAGTTTTGCTTTTAATTAAAGAAAAATAAAACCATTGTTAAAATGTTCTCATTTCTGTAATTTTTCTTTTCACATTGAAAATATTGTGCCTCTTTGAAAAGCTTTTTTTCCCCCAACTTAAGTAAATCATGAAAATGTGAAACAGGAAACGCTTTAGTCTGTTTTGTAGTGAAAGTCTGCAGTTTTTTAATTTTCTGCTTTTCAGAATACACCGTCACAAAATATTGTCAAGCGTCCAAATCAGCAGCTACAGTCAACTGCTCCAAGAAATAGTAACTTGCGTGAGTTGCCAATAGCACCATCACATGCTATGGAAATGAGCAACAACAGGCGAACCTCTACCCCAGCTGCTCAGGTCAAACCCATTACCAGCACGATGTCTGCCACCAAGTCTGTAGCTGGTGTTGGAAACTCACAGGGAAGGCCTGAGATGAAAGCTAAAGCAATCACACCAGTGGGCCAAGCAAAATCAGAAGTAAAATCTGAACCAGAGGTAAGGCGCTTTTTTTTTTTGAAAATCAAACAAAAAAAAATCTCCCACCTTTTTAAAACTTTCGTAGTCTGACTTGTGAACTGTAAGCACACTTAATGTATTATTCACCCAATATTTTTGGTGCCACTAGAGGCCTCCCTTCTGGGTTGCACTTTCCTCTTTAATGTGATAACAAAACCAGTCTCCATTGATAAAAAAAGAAGTCTGGAAGGTTGGCAGGGCTGTGGTGAGTCTGTTTTGCAGGAGGAGTCGTCATTTCTACTATGAAAACACAGAGGTGGTGTAAAGGTCATCAATGATACAAGCCTCTGAAATACCCATTGTGCCTACTTTTGTCTTCCAGGATTATGATCGGGGGGGTTTCTTCAGGTAATCACTTCTTTCTGAGTCAGCAAACCTCTTCTCTTCCATTTCCCATGATGCTTTATGGCTCAAAACAAAGGGCTATTTAAGAGAGCCGCCTTCCTCGTGCTGTTTTCCTTTAGGCTGCCCAGTCTCCTCTAGGGTCTTGAGCACTCATGCAGGAGATTGCAGCTGCATCGTCCGTGGAGCTTCTTGCTCTTGAAGAGGAAAACATGTCTTTTATGAAACCTTTTGACGTGAGGGGAAAATAGGAGATGCTTGCAAGCTTTCCATTTTGGAGAAAATGATGCTGTTTGCTCTGCTAGTACTCTGCACAATCAAAAAATGAGATGCCAGTGTTTTGGGCTCCATTGGATCATGCAGTGTGATCCACTGCATGAATCAAACGGTCGTTTCCCTGCACAGATCCTCCTGGAAGCTAGAGAAGACTCTCCATGAGCACTGTTAGTTTGAGAGAGTGTGTAGGATTACACTGATGGTGCTGTTAATCCTGAACATCAGGAGGTACCAGAGGAACATGATGGCTAAATGCACCCTGTATAATTTCTGAATGTCAGGTTATTCTGAGCAGAACTGTAAATCTTTATAGTTTAGTTGACCGTGAATCTTGTCTGAAAGACCAGGTTTTCTTCAACAACTGTTGAAAGCTTTAATTGTGATAATACTGTCTTCCCTTTAAGCTGCTCATAATTAGCTTTTTCATCTTGTTCTTGAATTAGGGATGGTCACAACTAATTTTCACAAACGAGGCACAAAAGAAACCCATAGCTAGCAGTGTTTGACCTCCTGTGCACTTGCCTTTCAATGGTAATATTAAAAAAAAAAAATCCTTATTTCAGCTTTTCATTTTGATCTTTTTTGAAAAAATGACTTAAGTAATCCCCCTCAATTCAGTCTCTTGGAATAATCCAAATCACAGAAAATGCAGCGCCTCTGCCTTTCAGGACATTAGTAAGGTAAGTTTTGAAGCAAATCAGCTACAGGCCTCCCCATCTAAAACATCTTAAAGTTTTTTCATGGTTTAGTCATATGAAAATTAAGGCATTACTTCTGAAATGTCTCTGGCAGTGTTTAGAAAAATGAATGAAGATTTTTCACTCCTCTTAATCAAATGAATTAATGGAGAAAAAAAAAAAAACAACAACCCAAACCCCAAACAAAGCAGTCATCTTGTTCTCTCTATTTTAAGTTTTAAACGTATCCTAACAAACCTGTAGTTGTAAGACTAACTGATCTTACTCGTGTGAGTTCTTGGTTTTACAAATAAAGCTTTCTTTTATTTTTGTGTCAAAGCTATCTTTGAAAACAGTTTGATACCTGTTTCATGTGAGTTTTTTTGCAAAACGATAAAAAAAAAAGTTGCCTTGGAAAAAATGTCTCCTAATGTTTCCTATTATTAACCATAAAAGTAAAGCCTTTGTAGATACACTTAGCAAGTACTAGAAAAGTGTGTGAATGTGTGCATGCACAGAACCCTTCTCCTTTCAAAGCAGACTTGAAATAGATCCTTGTGCTGCAAACAATGGTGGTGTAGCAGTTGTCCCTTTTCAGCTATGCCATTTATTGTCACTTTTGCAAACAGCATTGCTGCACTAGTAATGTTCATTTCCAAGCATTTAATCATTCTTCACTATTGTTGTAATGTAGATTATTACATTTCTCTGCTTAAGCAGATTGTAATGTTTTCCAGTCTTTTTTGTGTTTTTCTTGTAATTAGCTAACTTCGCCCTGTTCTCTTTGCTTTCTATGAAGATGAGAAAGAGTTAAGTTCTGTCATCTCTTCTAGCTGTATTGCTCATAACTGAATTGGGCAGGTTATTTTGCAAGTGTCTTCAACTGGAAAATTATTAAGACTTTTTCTTTGCATCCTTCTTCCCGAAGAGTCAGTGGCCATATTTATGAATGCCCTATCATTCAGGAAGCATCAAGAAAATAGCAATATTGGCTATTAAAGGTTTTGCTCACCTTCAAAATAGATATTTGAAAGGTTTGCAACCTGAGTGACTGGAAGATGAAAACTATATTTCTACTTTACTAATGGTATGCTTGTGTTTCTGTTCCTGTGAGGCTGCAAGATACTGACTTTAAATGCCTTTGTCCATTTAGAATAGCTGTTACTCTCCAAGATTTAAACTTGCATATCCTCAGTCTGAAAAATCATTTTGTCAGTGAAATTGGAAAGTATGAGTGATGTCTGTGGGCCTAATTGTGTCATCTTGAGGTCAGTTTAGGATAAGAGGAATTAAGGCAATATTAAGCATTTTTGAGTTTAAAGAAGGGGGGGAATGTGGAAAACCGATGTGAAATCTCTTTAGAAGAAATGCATACTGGAGCTCAGAACAGGAGAGCAATTAGTAGAGTGCTGCATAGTCATAGGTGTACTGATATTACTATTTACATTGCAGCTAATGTCCCCACTGTACTGAAAGAAAACCTTCACATTCCATTCTCCTAAATCCAGTAAATTTTGAAGTTGGGTGGTTGAGTTTTATGTTGCTGTCTTTTTAAAAAAAGACTTGCAATATGGAAAATAGTTGCTAGATTGCTGTTGGAGCAAATGTATCTAAATCCCTTTCATATTTTTGGAAATTAACCACCTGAAAAATTGTACATGTCTAAATTTGAGTTTTCTCTAGTATAAATAGTTTTGATTTCCAAATTTTGATAATGGTGCCTCCTGTCTTGTGCTTAGAAAATTCTTCTTAACACAGTCTTTTTCCAGTTGGAAGATCGCAAGAGGGCAGCGTGCTTCCCAAAGTAACTTGTAACCTTGTTCTTAATTCTCTTCCTGTTTGTCCAAGATGCACAGCACTTGTGTTTTGTAGGGTGACTCATACTTTCCTGGGGTTCAGGAGCTGGTGTCATCAGTAATGTGAAGTGTGTGATGTGTATATAGGTGTCTTTATTTAAGATACTTCGTGGTTTTGAACACAAGCAGCCAAATGATGTAATTTGGATCTGGCCTTACTTTTTATGAAGACTTGTCATGAATTTTTCGACAAATGATTCTAGTCTCTTTTGCTTCTAACGTTACAGCTGAAAAAATAAAGATAAACCTGCTGAATAGTTTTATGTGTGTGCCACATATCAAACCATTTTGATTGCTCTGTCCTTGCACCGTTCTACTGAGGGACATAAGTGAGCCTGGTTGCATGATTCCTTTTTTGTTCCTTGACAGCAAACCAGAACACTTATAGTATCTGATTCTTATGACTCTGCATTTAATTCTATTAAGTAGTAATAAACCCTGCAGTCCTCTAAAAAGGGTTGGGTTTGTTTTTGTTGGGTTTTTTTAGTTCACTGTATGAGAAGCAAGCTACTGATACTAGGACTTAAATTACAGTAGAAAACTGTAATTTTAGAGCATGTTTTAGAGCATGTCTTTGCTGCCTGTTCCTCGATCAAGTGTTTTCTGCAGAAAAAGGTGAAGTGTCAAGAGTTTATCTAGGAAAAAAGCTGCTTCAAGTTCTTCTGCTTCTTCACCTACAGATAATGTTGCTTTTGGCAGGAAACTTCCAAACACAGTCTGTGAACTTTGTGACATCTTTGAAGGATGTCTGCTTTCTCCCAGTAGCTTTTTTTGGGTTTGTTTGTTTTTTGTGGGGGGTGGTGTGTGTTTGTTTTGGTTTGTTGTTTTTGGCAGTGCTACTGCTTGTTGGAGAAATCTGTACTGGGCTTATTAAACTAATGGCATGAAAATAATTAGCAATAGGCATTGCGTGCTGTTTCCATCTTGACCCGATGTACTGTCTTGCCTGTTCTGTATGATAAAGCTGCTTATTACATAGTATAGGTCATTTATATGTACTATAGGTCTCATATATATATATACACACACAGACACACAGTATAGTGTAGTATATATAACATGCTCTTAAAGCTAAGCAGCAGAGGATTTAACTGCCCTTGTTTTCAGCCTGGTGAGGAGTTTGTTGCCCATTCTGAATCTGTACTGTTGGGTCATTGCACAACTAATTCCAATTAAACCTGACTCCTAATTCAAATATTTTGTTAATGATCACAGTGTCATTATATTGTTTGGTCTAACTCTAGCTGCAAGGGTATTTTACTGAGAACTTAACAGCAGTAGCAATTACTTAAGAAGATGAAGGGTTTAGTCTACCTGTAGCCTGTCAGTGGGCTGATCTGCAGTTGTCATATAGCCTCAGAGCTCTTGGACCTTGATTTCAAAGCTTACCCTTTAAGAAGGAATTGACTTCATAGGATCCGTACTGATTTCCTAAGTATTGAGTTGAGTTCCTGAAAAGAAAATTTCAGATTATATTTGAGATCAAATTGCCTGAAGATTCTACTAAGCATGCTTCTAACTTCATATGTGTTGGTAGTTTGTCAGCTGTCTTCTGTGTTTAAAGCTAGTGTAGTTGAAATCAGTGTATCTTTCTGTGCTGCACAGATGTATTGGTCAGAGTCCCTCAGGATGTTCATTCCTTGCCTGCTGGCAAGACTCATTTAAGTGTGCCACAAAGAACACATCTCTGTGCTGCTATATGTAGTCTTTTGAGTTAGTGTTTTGTACTTACTGGGTCGGGATCTACATCTTCCAAGGCCTTCAGAACTGGTTAGGTGATAATATGAGCAGACAGGTCCCTAATAATAAATGACAGCTGATAGAAGAACAGGTGTCATGCAGATTCTTGCTGGTATTGACACTATCAATTGAACATAAAGAAGAAAAAAAAAATACAGTGCTACCTCCAAAGGTAAATTTTGTACTGGCTCACTGGCATCAATCAAACCTGTTTAGATAAAATGTAGAATATTCTGATCTAAAGCAAAGCAAAGTGAATAAACTAATTTGTTAAGTTCAGTGGAAGAGGTTTTGTGTTTGGACAAATTCAGTAATTGAGATATTTACTGTCTCTGAAAGTAACTGAAAATTTTATTCGTTGCATCAGGATCTGCATAACAACACATCTTCCTCCTATCTGGAGCTTATCTCTATTTTGTCATCCTATGCAAACTATATTTAAGGATCTTAACCTTTTACTGTATTTTATAAGGGCCTTATTCTTTTTTCTTTTACTACAATCCAGCATCTCCAGTTTTCAATTTAAGATGAAATATTTGAGTTTCCTACTACTGCCCATTTTAATTTGTAGAAATACGTTCCTGTTACCATTGTCAATGAAGACCTGTAATCTAGTTGTTATAGTGATTAGCCATTAATCACCACCACTGTAGTCTGAAAAGTATAGAGGAAGATCAGAACCCTTTGCTATATGAAGCATTCGCCTAAAAAGGACAGTGTTAGACCTCATCTCAGAACTATAGCCTATATTAAAAAAAAAAACCAAAACCCAATTTTGTTGAAGTCTTATTTTAGCCATTGTTTAGGCTGGAATTGGAGTGTGAGACATGCAGCTATTTCTTAGTCGCTGTGGGAATAATCCCTATCAGTAGGTGCAGTTATAGCTGAAGGAAACAAGCATTCAGGATTTGTGCATCTGGATTCTATCAGTACAAACACTACTCTGCTGGGCTTTTATATCTGTGAACCAACTTCACGGTTGGATCTGTTCTGCTGTTTTTTTCCTTGGGTTGGGGAGGATTCTGGGATGTACCAGGGATAAAATCACTTGAATTTAAAAAAAAAAAAAAAATTGTTGCATGTTTGGGTCCTATGTGTGCAAAAATGGCATTTGTGTTGACAAGAGCTTGCACCCAGTTATTGCAAGGTAAACAACTTCATCACGGATTCCCAGTATTTGAGAAATGTTTTAGCATTCTTTATGCTGTAATTTACCAAAATGCAAAGTATTGTTACTTTGAGAGCCTGTTTTTGTTAGGGGTGATTAATACATCTTGAGTAGAATATTATGCTCATTACCATCTGTAAGCAGTCTCTACAAGTAGTATTTCAAACAGTCAAAAATAAAAAATAATGAAATAGTATGCTTTGTAATTTTGAAAAATGCATGTGATTGTATCACAAGAGCAATTTGATTTCTTTTCTAGGATGATGAGAATCTGCATTTCCTTGACTTTTGCCCATTTCATATAGCCTTTCATAAGAACCCATTGTGCCAAAGTTGAAGAATCTTTAGAAAGGTTATTTGATGGTGTGTAATACTTTCAGAGGGGCCCAGGGCTGGAATATTAAAGGCATTCTCTATGTACCATTAATATTCCAACACTGCATTTGGCAACATTTTGATTCTGAAGAGAGTGCATGAGTTCAAGGTCAGAGAGATTGACTTGTGCTGTTCATTATAACCAATTATTGTGTGACAAATGAGTTTGAGATCAGGCTGAAAATTCTGTGAGAAAAATCAATAGTTCTAATCAGGGCCCTTTCAGGTCATTTACCACCCTACCTTTTGTTACTTTGTCAGAAAAGAGCAAGATAAAACCTGTGTGACAGTGGGTTGCCTCTGTATTGTTACTTTCCACTTGAAACATATTTTGATATCTTGAATTATATTAATAGTTTAATTGGTTTTAGAAACTTCTAAATGAGTTCCAATTTGTAGAACTTTTTTTTTTTTTGTATTCTGATAAGATTTCTCAACTGGTATTAAAGCTCTTTTCCCCCCCTGCCCCCCCGCCCCTGGCTGGGAAGTAGTATATCCAAGTCCTAAACCAGATTTGAGCTGTTTGTCTGTAATGAATAGCAAATAAACCTTACCAGCAGATATACTCCACTAATAGCCTTAGTTTGGTATCAGGGATAATTTAAAAAGCTTTTCGGAGCTTTATGACATCTGAACCAACAATTTAATGTTGTTTTGACCAAGCTGGGCATTTGTTGAGAATTCTATAAATTCATTTGTGTTTTCCTTTGTAGTATCCAGACGAAGATGAAGAAACTAGATTGTATCGTTTGAAGATAGAAGAGCAGAAGCGTCTAAGAGAAGAAATTCTGAAACAAAAGGAGCTGAGACGGCAGCAGCAGGCTGGTGCTAGAAAGAGAGAATTACTCGAAAGACTTGCGCAGCAGCAGCAGCAGCAGCAACCTTCTACGCAACAGTCCTACATGCAGCAGGAAGACGACTCCTCTGAGTTCCCCACCAATGGCAGCCCCTACATACCCCACTCTGGCTTACAGACCAGGCAAAATGTGAAAAACAGACTCCTTGTTAGAAAGCAAGATATGGTAGTTCCAAATATCCAACCCAAACCCACAGATTTCCCACAGGTCGGGGCGAATATGCAGTATCAAGGACAGCAGATGAAGCCAGTGAAGCAGCTGAGGCAGACTAGGACAGTACCTTCGAGTCAGCCTCAGGCGCCGCAGAAAGTATTACAGACAAAACCTGCTGCAGCATCGCTGCCCACGACACAGACTGCTCGAGTGGCTTCGGCACAAGCAAGGCCCCAGGAACTGAAACCTGGCATGAAAAGGACTGTCATGCAGCGGACAAACAGTGGTAGTGGAGATGGGCCCCATGTCGGCAGCAAAGTCAGGGTGATTAAGTTGTCAGGAGGGGTAAGTTTCCAAGGCTCATCTTGTGTGTGTGTGTTGTCATGGTTTGTTTTTGTGTGTTTCATTCTGTGTAATTCCAAAATAAAATATGGGCCTAAGCTGATGAGGGAAGTAGCAGGTTTAGCAGACCTAATAATGCGTATTTTATATTTTCAGAACTGTAAGTTATTAGCAGTTATTCAGAAATTGATGTTTGCTGCAGTGCTTTACTGCCAGGCAGTTACCACTGAAATCACATTGAAATAATAGTACTTTCTTTTAAGTTCGTTGTAACTTGAGTCTGAAAGACTCCTCAGCTGAGCTCCTTTTGCTTACAGTTAGTAGTTCCAATAATTAGTCAGAGAAAGGACTTGGATGGCTGCTTTTAAGGGTCGATTAAGAAGCTAGGCTCTGCTTATTTGGTAATTGAAGCCACCTAATTTAGTTGTGTGCAGGTGGTGGTGTTAGTGTGGTTTCTGTGCTCAAGGGAAGATTGTTTTTTTTCTTGGGAAGTGTGTTGTGAAACTAACTTAAGCAGTATATTGGAGGGGGATGTTTTCTGTTAGAGACTGCGTTTTAAACGTTACCATTTCACTTCTGCATCTAAATGAGATTTCCTTATCTTTTGATAAGGGGTCTATTATCTGCAGAGTGTCCCTTGAGCACCGGTGTTGTGGGGGACTCACAATGCTGGTCTCAATGGCAGTGTGCATATTTAAGATCTGGGGCTTTGGTTAGAAAGTATCTCAACCAAATTTCTTCTGTCTTAATGAAAAGACAAGTTAATTTGTTAGGGCTCTGAAGAAACTGAGATGAGGGGACATAGCAAGATGGTGTTGTCAGTGTGAAATCTGTCCTCGGGTTTAAGCTGAGGAGGAAAGAAGGATGTGATGTGGTTTAATGCTGTGGTACATTGGAGGTGGTTTTTTTGCAAAAATGCTTCTTAAATTATTCAGAGCATTAATTAGGGAAACTTGCAGAGCTGCTGTAATCTGTAATGAAGTGAACAGTGTGGTAACAGGGACTGAACAAGGCCTTGGAGGCTAGGCTTTACTCTGTAGAAATGGAGAGGAAGTCGAAATGCTGAAGTCTTAACTACTTTTTGTGAATGTTTTTCTACAGCTCATAAAACTTAAATACACTTAAAATTGTGAATTGCATAATGACCATGTGGTCTTTCACAATATTAACATAAAGGACGTTATTGACTAAATAGAGCTGACAACAACCTGACTTTGGAGGATGTCTGAATTCCTCAGACATGGTAACTTAAGTACAGAAGAATAAAGTACAAGAAGTTGAAAGAAATGGCTTCTGTTGGGCTAAAAATATTTATTTATAAATACATCTGCAGGAATCCCAGTGGCCTGCAAGAGGTATGACAGGTTTGTTATTCATGAATAATTGAATAAAGCAGTCATGCACAACATTTTATTACATGGTGAAACAAAACAACGCCAGTCACCACTGTATACAGCTCTTCATAACAAATGGTTATCAGTGCCCAAACTAGAATTCGCAATGAAATAGTTTTTATCATAATGCTCTATTTCAGAAAACCATAAATGATTTGTTTCAGATAAGTCTCATGGTAAGGAAGAGCAATTAGCTTCATGAAATGCATGTGTAACCCCTCTTTCATTGTATACAGAAGCAGATCTGCTCTGTCCGTCTTAACTTTCAGATACCAAGGTTTTAGCAAGGTAAAGCAGGTTCTCTCCCTGTAGTCTTTGTTACTTTTTTCATATTGCCATGGACATTTTAAGTTTTTGTTCCAACTGTGGAAGAATAAAAGCAGCCGTTGCAATTAACTGTTTAACACTGATCAAGGTAGTTGATTAATTTTTAATCAGTTAGTGACAAGCTGAATCTATGACTTTGTTTCTTTGACCACACAAGGAAAAAGAAAAAATTGAGCAGCAGGGTGGCCAATCTTGTCTATTTTGACAGGATTTTAAAGGATTAAAAGCTGTGTAAACTCTGAATACTATAAAGATCACAAATCACATTTAGTTTCCATTTCTAGTGTTTAGTCCTGCCACATGCTTTATTTATTTTCACAACTTTTGCCTCAACCCTAAATATAAAGCAAAAGCCAAATCTCATTTTTCCTAGCCATTCTCCTTAGCATGTAATAGTGCTTCCTCTAATTCCCTGACTTTGGCCAAGGGGATGACTGGTATCTCTTATCTATGTGCTCTGACTTGATCCTGCAGTTAAGCAGCCCTGCCGTTTCTCTCAGTCTGATCACTTGTACCCTTTTTCCTTTCTAGAGCTCTTTTGCGCAGAGGTGTTTTGAATACCCGGGTACGAGTGAGATGGCTTGCAGTTAGACACAATGCACATTCCTTTTTGAAACTCTCGAGTCATGTTGGTAAAGACATGGAAAGTCCCTTCTCTTTCAGCCTGCTAGCCATGGTACAGTACAATAGTAGAGCTGTCAGTTGAAGAAGCTGATTGAGGCCAGACCTGTACTAACTCTGTCTAGAGCAAATTGAGCTCCTAAAACAGGAGCTGGTAGCAAGGACTGTTCTAGATTTAGTAGGACCATCTGTAGAACAGGATTAAATGTTGTTGCGTTGCTCGTGATGTTTTTTTGTTTAACAGTTAAGGAGATGTACTTGGTGTATTGGTGAGATTTATGGTATACAAATACTGTCAGAAGAGAATGATTTCTTCTCTTGAGGGCAGTATCTTTCCCAGTCTAAGCTTCTAACTGTGTTTATTTGTGTTGCTGGGCACTGCAGTACTACCGAGGATCTCTGATCTCCAGGTAGAACTATCTCTTGTTACTTAAGAAGGTAAAATGGCCTTTCATGTGTTTCCACAATACTCTCTCTTGAGAGGATCTTGCTTTTCAAGTATTTTTATGGAATTGTAAGAATTACTACTTAAATTCCAACAAATATTTTAATTTGTCCACTTAATCTGATGCATAAGATGCCTTAATTTATGGCTTCTTATACTTAAAGGGAAGTAGGAAATGATTCAGCGTTTCCTGTATGTCAGACTAAGCCTGCATATCAACGTGACACGTGTTAGGTACTGTCATTAATGATTTTGTCTGTTGATGCTTTTTTTAAACAAATCCCCCGCCCGCCTTCTCCCCTAATACTGTATGCCCATCCCTTTCTAATACTCCTGTAATTTGTGCAGGAAAGGCAGTACAGTAAATAGTTTCCATTTTAATTACTCCTTTAAATGTTATATTCCTGGAAAATGAGACAGTGCTTAGTGCTTAGCAGATGAACTTTGATTTTGGTTTTTTTTTTTTTTCATGGAGGCCCAAATATCTTCTGATGGATCCCGTGTGCTTTATGGTTTGTGTGGCATTTCTTCAGAGCCGTCCTTTCCAGGTACAGGAGTTTAGCATATTTGCTGAGTATTCATACTTGTATATTTTACTAAGAAAACATCTGAGATTTGCCTGGAGTGGTGAGGAGCCTGAATTCAATTCTAAAGACACGTAAGAATAAACTCGGTGAGATTGCAGAGTGTTGTTTGTTGGGAAGAAACACCCTAATAAATCACTTTAAAACATGATCAGAAAATTGTGGAAAATAGGGGTGAAAGGGCTGTAGAAATAATTTATTTGATCTTGAAGGGGGCATGAACTCTGCAGCATTCCTGACAGATTTGACCAACCTTTTTCTGCAGTCTCATTATTGGAGATTTCTTTGGCCATCTATTCTGGTGTCTTAACCTGTACATTTAGGAGAATTTTCTTAGTAAGCAAACCACGTTTTCTTGCTGCAATTTTGAATCTATGACTAATTGTATTATACTTCAAGAGACATAGGAAAGAATTTATATCCCTCTTTGTCGCTGTCTCTGTTTAAAGCTCTCTTAGCTGTTTCTGAGCACTCGCGTCCTTCACTCCCTCTTGATGGGGCATGTTCTGTAACACCTTGGCTGTTTGTGGTGGTCTCATTTGGGCTCTTTGATCGGTCTGTGGGTAAATAGTTCCAGTACCAAGTGCAATTGAATTCCTTAAGCCAATATATTAGAAGTGTCTTTAGTCCTGGAAGAACAGGTTTCTGCCAGCTACAACCTTAAATATCTTAAGATCATATGAAATATGTGCTGAACATGTTTTTTTCATTTAGTTGGAGTTTCTGTGGGAAATGGTAATATCTTAAAATCTCTGTATCATTGAGTCATCTTATATTGTTGTTGGGTGATTTCTCTCTAGCCAGAAAATGGTCTGCCATGCTCAAAGAGATGTGTGTCTGTCCAAAGGCCTGAAAATGCTGGTTCTTATGCTACACCAAGAACACACCAATCTTTGTCTCTGTGGAAAGCTGCACAATGAGCTTTTTTCATAAATACATATATATTAAAATACATAAAAATCTCAGTGTTCCCTGTTGGATTAGAAGCAGTATCTTATTAGTGATCATAATTCCTGAAAACCTGAGATGAAGCTTCATCTGAAAAGCTTGAAGATTTGGCAAGTTCTTTTTGTTTGAAAAGCCTGTCACAAAAAATGTCCTCGGATTGTAAAAAGAAAGAGAACTGGAATGGAAAATAGACAACTTTATACATATTTAGAGCAACTGAGAAGTGTAAGAGACAAATATGGAGTTCTAAATATGGAAAAAGATACTGGTTGAGATGATTCTTGTTTGATAATGTAACCTTATCAACCAACTTTGCTTAATGTTTGTACTTGTTTCTGCTTGCATATGTATGTTCAAGTTTAATTAAAATATTTGACTTGAAAGCTCTATAGCGCCTTTCATCTAAATATGTCAGGAATTACAAACACTAAGATTTTTGGCATTTGCATGACAAGTTCTTGAGGGAGCCCTTCACCCAGCTCTGCAGCGCTACCAGCTGCAAGAAACAGCACAGGAACTCTCGCTGCATACCATATTATTACTTTTTAAGAGGCTGAATGGCATTGCAGTTTCTTTGTATCCTGCTATTTGAAGGAAGTATGGATAATGTCTGTATTCTATCAGGAGCGGACTGAAGGAGCTGCAGAAACCATGGTATCTAAATGCCCAGGTACCATGTTAGTC